GACCACTGGACTCTGTGTGGAAGCCAAAGAATAGATTTGCAGAGACCCCCATGAGCCTGCAGAAGGCCTTCCAAAACTGGTTCATGAACTGAGGTCCCATCTTCGACATCAGATCGCTAGACATGCCATGTACCCTGACCATGTGCTGGAGAAACAGCTCAGCTGTCTCCTGCAATGCCACAAATTTGCTTGACTTTGTGAAATGGTTCACCAATACCAGGATGACAGTGTGGCCCTTGGATGGGGGGCAATTCAGTCACAAAGTCCAGGGAAACATGGGATCATCAATGAACTGGAATTGATAGCAAGAAATGAGACCTGGGCACCTTGTTTCTTGCACACACCTCACAGGAGGCAATAAATGCATGGATGTCCTTAACCATGCTTGGCCACCAAAACCACCTGCGCAAAAAGTCCAGGACCCAGTTACCCCTGAATGATCTATGAACAGAAAGGCAAGTCCCCAGACCATGACCTGCTGGTGTCCTGCTGAGAGTACATACTGTCTACCAGGGGGACCACCCCCAGGATCTGGATCCCTCCAGAGGGCCTCTCGAATGGAGATCTCTAGTTCCCAAAGGTGTGGTGCCAGGATGCGAGGAGTAGGAATTATGGCCCACCAGGCTTGACAGGGGTTCAGTCACTTTGGCTACTGTATGTAGGCCAGGTTCTTTTGATCAGTCCAAACCATAAAAGGATGTTTGACTCCCTTAAGCCAGTGCCTCCACTCCTTGAGAGCCAGTTTACTTGCCAATACTTCCCTATCTCTGACGTCAAGGTTGTATTCAGTGGGCACAAGCTGATGCAAATAGAATGCACAGAGATGGAGTTTATTGTCTGGCCTGAAGCATTGGGAGAGTATCACCCCCATGCCAATGTCAGAGGTATCTACCTTGAAGACAACTGAAGAATGAAGGAAGATGTCAGCTGCATCTTAATCTCTTCGAAGGCCTTTCGGGCCTCAGTGGTCCAGTGAAAATGTTCTGGGGTCTTCCACGTGAGGGCAGTAAGGGGAGCCACCACGGAACTGAAATTTTGCAAGAAATGCCGGGAAAACATGGCAAACCTCAGAAACAAGTCTACCAGAGTTTTGATTTTGTCAGGGGCCTTAGATACCACAAATCCCAAGAAGGAGATCGCTGAGGTGTGGAGAATTGACTTCTCTAGCTTGACGTACAGGTGACTATTATTGGAGAACCCAACTGATGTGTCCTATGTGTGCCTGATAGGATACGCTGTGAATCAGGATGCCATTGAGGTAGATGTAGCCATAATGTCCCAGGGCCTCTCTCAGTACTTCATTTATTAACAGCTGGAAGACTACTGGAGCGTTCATGAGCCCAAAGGGTAAAGGGGGTGATAAACATGGTCTTTTATTCATCCCCCTGCTTGATGCGAATCAGGTTATAGGCACTGTGCAGGTCCAGCTTGGCAAAGATGATAGCCTACTGCAGTGCCTCAAATGCTGTCAACATAAGTGGCAGGGGGTAGCAGTCTTTAACAGTGATGGCATTGAGACTCCAATGGTCCAGGCAGGGTAGGAGATTACCATCCTTCTTACCAACAAAGAAGAATACGGCCCCTGCAGGCAAAAAAGAGGACATACAAACCCTAGCTCCAGTGCCTCCCAGATGTATTTGTCCAAGGCAGAACGATCTGGGGGCAATAGTGAAAACAATTGGACATGGGGGGGTATGGTGCCTATTAGTAGGCTGATGACACAGTGCAAAGGCTGGTGGGGGCAGAACCTGTGCCTGTGTTTTACTGAAGACCACTTGGAGGTCTCAGGCACCCCCAAAAATTCCAGTTGGGCCCCTGTTGAGTGGCCCCTTATATGGTGCACCCCTATTGGCCGGGCAGTATTCCTCACATCGAGGGCTGCAAGCAAACACAGAAAGCGTAGAGCACTTAATATGTGGGTTGTGCTGTTCTAGCCAAGGAAACCCCAATCCTAAACCTATGTGGAGTGCTCTGGTGACATACAGTCTAACCTGCTCACTATGGGTTCCGATATGCAAGGTAATGGGTGGCATGAGTAACAGGACCAGAATTAAGGGGTCAGACATCTAAGGCCAGAACAGGCAGGGAGCTGTTCAGGGCTTCATTAGGTAGACCAAGCCTGGCCATGAAAGCAACATGAATAAAGCTCTCCACTGCCCCTGAATCCACAAAGGCCCACAATGTGTTAATTTGATCATGATTCCAAAATATAGAGGCCTACAAGTGGAGTCCATCTCCAGGTCCCCAGGCTGGGTTTTCCAATGAATAGGTCCTGTTGTGGGCATGATTAACCCTAATCAGCGCTGCACCCTGATTGGGATGATGGGCACCGCTCAACTGCATGGGCTCAGGAGGCTCAATGTCCAGTAAAAGATGCCTCAGTAACACTTAGAATAACGATATGTCATGCCTTCACAAAGATCCAGCGATAAGAGGGCTAGCCCCTCCACTTCACACACACCTGTTTCACATAAACCTGTCAGTGCCATCTGCACTTGACCAGCTCTGGGGCATGTGCTACTTCACCAAATCAGACCTAGGAAGTGCTTACAATCTCATTCAGGTAACAGAAGGAGATATATGGAAGATAGCGTTTGCATGGCTACTGGCCATTATGAATATTTGGTTCTGTCTTATGAACAATGCTCTGTCTGTTTTCCAAACATTTATCAATAACCTTAGGAACATGTTATGAAGGTTTGATATTGCATATATTGATGACATCCTGATGTATTCTACTTCCTTACCTAAACACATCCAACAAGTAAGAAAGGTTTTGAAAAGACTGCTGAAAAATCAACTCTGTCAATGTTGAGAAATGCCAATTTCACCAGACTCAGATTTCCTTCCTAGGTTACATCATCAGTCAGGAGGGTGCGTTTCTGGATGAGAAGAAGGTGGAGACTGTAAGAGGATGGATAAAACAGCCAGTCATAAGACAATACAATGCTTTCTAGGTTTGGTGAGTGACATGATATGGACAGTCACAAGTGGCTGGCCATTAAATTGGCATTGGAAGAATGGTGGCATCCTTTTACAGTGCTGACAGACCATCGGAATCTATATTACCTTTGCACAACAAAGAGGCTAAATTACAGACAAGCACAGCGGCAATGTTCTTTTTTCACTTTAACTTTATAATCATATACAGACCCGGGTCTCATAATGGCAAAGCTGAATCTTTGTAATGTCAATTTGAGGAAAGAAAGTCATCAAAGAACCAGAACCCATCCTGAACCCATCCTGCATTCTAGCTCCTATACAATTCATAATAAGGCATAAAGCAAGCCACTTGGCTAGATTCTGCTCCCATTAACTGTGCTAATGATCATGTTTATATGCCACAGATCTCTCGTGATCTCATGATGTAGGCCCACACTTCATTAGCCACAGGACATCAAGGCACGGGTCGCACCATCCATCTCTTATCCAAATGCTTCCCCATAGCCTTTCATACAGCAGAAGCATTATTCACTCATGTATTCAGAAACTTTGGAATACCAAAGGACATTGTATCAGACAGGGGTCATCAGTTTGCAACTAGGGGTCATGATCCACCTCATCTCAGGGCATCATCCTCAGCAGTTCGGTTGAACACCTTAACCAAGTGACTGACTTCTATGTATGTCACTACTGTGATGAGCAGCAATGTATATAAAATCATGTGTTGTTCTGTGCTCTAAAGTTTCTGCAAGGTTTTTCCTGACAATTATGAGCAGCACATTTTACATGATTTGGCTCTAACTATTTGTTTTTTGAATTTGAATTTATTTTGTGTTTTGATTTTGGTTCTCATGATTTCAGTCAGCTGGCTCTGGAATGTTTTACTGCTGTTGTGGCTTCATCAATAAAGATCAGCTCCCACTTGAGTCCCACTTGTGGTGACTCATTTTTGTTACAGCCAGATAGTAGAAGGATCAACAAAAATAATAATACAAAATAAATAAATGAATAATAAAAAAAAAAAAACACCTGCTGTGATGGGGTTGTTTGCATTGCATTGGCTACACTACTTTCAGTCAGTGTGCAGTCTGATATACCCAGACAGGCCTGATCAGGCAGGAGATCATCAAGTCATAATTCTTAAGGATCATTAAGTTTTCAGCTTCTTTAATTGCAAATATATACTTAATATCTATCTAGTATTTGTAAATGAAAAAAAAAACAACAAGTTAACAAATTAACTTTGGTTATTGATCATCAAGTCATAATTCTTAAGGATCATTAAGTTTCCAGCTTCTTTAATGGTAAATATCTACTAACATACTTATAAATGAAAAAAACACTAGGGATTAAATTTAGATATTTTAGAACATAGCAAAACAATTTAAATGTAACATTCAGGGTTTACATGTATTTATGATGTTGGCTACATGGTTTGGTTAGGTTATTATATATAAGCTAGGCAAGCCTTGCTAACTGTGGGCAGCATCTTGGTTGATAAATTACATTTATGGTTAGGGGAACTCAGGTTTCTTTGGCTGTTCCATTTTATTATGAAACATGATAAATAAAAGATATGGAGTTCACTGACCTGCAAACCAGTGTGTGTGTGTGTGAGTGTGTGAGTGTGTGTGTGTGTGTGTGTGTGTGTGTGTGTGTGTGTGTGTGAATTAAATGATTTACTGACATCATTTAGAAAAAAATCTTATATTATTTTGATGTACATATACTGAATTTAAGCTTTAAAAAGGAGGTTGATGTTTTGATAAGTTAAAGTACTTTAACAGTTAAAGTAACAATAATTTTTAAGACTGAAAATCAAAAATGTTCCTTTTTAAATTTCAAAAGTGATGACCCATTATAAAATTTCCAATTGATATATTATGATCACATTTTTGTCTGACTAATTATCCAACGAGCCTAAAGTTCCCTTTATCAAAATCCTTTTATAAAATTTACAGATGCATTGAGAATGATCAAAACTTTTATTTAAAAACAGATATCCACTCAGCATCTTAAGACTGTTACATGAATACAAAAATGCATTTCAATGTGTTTAAAATGCTCTACTTAAAGTAGATTCTATCTTTAATTCATATTGATACTATAGGCTAATATCTTCTACAGTGATGTTTTCAATGTATTGAAAAGCAAGAAAAACTACAGGTGATGAATGAAAGTAGATCTGTCTTTTTAAGGCTCAGATATACAATTAACAGGATTCTGAAATCATGTACATTTAAAATAATATATGTGTTTTTCTTTTCCAAATCATCTTCTTGATCTTATTCCAAATCTCCTGCAGCTTCAGTCCATATATAATAGGGTTTATTACAGGAGGAATGACTGCATTTTCAACTGACATTATCATGGAAACAATATGAGGTATATTTGCTTCTATTCTGCTATTGATAACTTCAAAACAGCATGTAGTGCTGACACTGATAAAAATCAAAAGGTGTGGCATGCAGGTATTTAGAGCTTTTCTTCTGAACTCTTTTGAGTTCTTTAAACAGACATGAAGTATTCTAACATATGAAAAGGCGATAAAGATTGTGGGTGGAAATACAGCAACGCCTAAAACAAACAGTCCATAAGAATTTCTTGCAGTTGTGTCTCCACAACTCAGTTTAAGAAGTCCATTATTATTACAGTATATTCTGTTTAATTTAAATTTGCACAACTTCAGCTGACATGTTAGTATCAACCCAATACCCATTTCCAATGAGGGCACAAACCAAGAGAAAAATATTAGCTTTTTAACAGTGGATATTTTTATAAGAGTTGCGTATTGTAATGGTTTACATATGGACACATATCTGTCATAGGCCATAGCTGATAACAGTGTGAACTCTGAGGCAGCATATGTGTAAATAAAAAAGGACTGAAATGTACAGGCCTCGTAAGAGATAACCTGCGTTTCAGATAGAAAATCCTTCAGCAGTTTAGGGTAAAGAGCAGCTGTTCCAACAAGAGCATTAAAAAGTAAAGCAGCAATGAAAATGTACATTGGCTCATGAAGACGTTTGTTTCTATATATGACAGAAATAACAACAACATTAACAAAAATAATAAATAAATAGACCATCAGAGTAATCACAAAGTAAACATATCTGTATTTCTCCAACTCTATATGCCCTTCTAGAGTTAAGTATGTAATATTAATTGAAGATTCTATTTCATTCTCCATGAAGTCGTCTATGAACCTCTAAGAACAAATTTGTGAATTGGTTCCGGTAGTGTTTATGAAAACATTAGTGGTCGTCCATCAAGAAGAATAATAAAAGTGAAAATATTCCATTGCTGTACAGTCATGCTGTAGTGAGGCAAACAGCTCTGTGTGTATTTATACATTTCCAAATGGTAACATATTCCTCAGTGGTTCACTGACTAACTGACAGATTGTGAAGTCCAGCCTTCTTTCACACCAACAATGACTGTAAACTGCAAATGTGTCTTCTAGTATATTTATTTGCTTTATGGCTTAGATTTATTTTGTATATGCATGTGATGTCAAACGCCTAGTAGGTGTATTGCAGAGTCTGAGCAATAAACATGCAATGAAGCTAATTGGAAAATGCACTGGCTTCAGCTACATTTCAGCTAATTTAGTATTATCACTTCATGACATTATTGATTTATCAGTCTACTCAGGCTTTAGCAGAGCTCATTAACACTTTAATTAATGACTGATGTGTTATGCCTTCATGTAGGCATGTTCGTATCCTTGGCCTTAGCCAGCCATTGTAATGGAGAGTGATCTATCATTAAAGTGAAATGCCTACCGGTAAGAACTCATCGATGGCCCGTTTGATGGCAAGAGCTTCACGTTCCAGGGCGGCACAGTGTTGCTCCGCAGAGTTGAGCTTACAGCTTACAGGGATAATCTCACCCTACTAGGGGGACTGGAAGATCCGGAATGAGACCAACGGTGAGGGTCCACTGTCGGCCTTTCTCACCCTGGCCGTGGGAAAGTGGCACACATCCCCGTGTACACAGGACACTGGAAGCTGTTCACAGGAGGGCTGGAGCCAGGGGAAATCTGAAGGATGGGCCAGGGTGACAGTGCTCCCATGAGTCCATGAGGGCTTGTACAGATGTCCCATCCATATACAGGGTGTGTGTGTGGGTCCCTGCATTCTCTTCTCCCCATGCGGGCTGCAGCTGGCTAGCCAGGCTTTAGAAAGGCGGACCTGTACCCCCGGGTCAGGTTCGGTTGGCATGGGCTCATCGAGGGGCTATGCGGGGTGGCCTGACACAGGGGACGGGTTCTCTCTGGGCGTCGGAGCTCTCTCTCCGGGTCACGATGAGCTAGGGCTTGTTTGCTTCGGAAGGGAGAGGGGGAGTCACGTCACTCGAGGCGACACATGCTCTGAGCATTCTCCGCACACTCTGTAGCCCCCACGATTTCACAGGGGTCTTTGGCAGTCTTCATACCCACTACCTTTCTGAGCTCAGGGGGAAGGGCTCGCGGAAACCTCTCCATGGCAACATGCTCTATCATCTCTTCTGAGGTGCATTTTTCAGGCATGATCCATCGCCTCGTGAGCCTCAAAAGATGGAGCATCTGCTGGCGAGGGGTCTGACCAGGCTTATAACCCCAGCGGTGGAATTTTGCAGCCGCAGCCACAGGACTCTGACTTACCCTAGCTAGGATCTCCGACTTGAGTACATCATAGTCATCCAGTTTATCAGGTGGCAGGGAGTAATAATTGGGTCTTACCAGTTAAAAAACAGGGGCAGAATTTCAGTCCATTCCTCCTTGTCCCATAATTCCCGCTCTGCTGTTGTCTCGAACGCGTACAAGAAAGCTTCAAATGTTGTCATCGGAGGTAAGTTTTGTAAGGAGATGGTGAGCAGTCTGTTTGGGGCAAGGGAGAGGGGGTCCTGTGGCGGTTGCAGACCTCCGAGAGGCCAGAAGATCTTCAGTAATGGTTCTGATACCCCGTGCCCCTGCTGGAGACTGGTCTCAAGGAGATGTTGGATGAGTTGATCCATACTGAGCAACAAGGGAGAGTGAGGATTTTCTCTTCTCCTTTTAGTACTCGCGAAGTCCTCCAGGGGGCGATGCATGCATTCTCTACCACTGTGGGGCATTAGCCGAGAGGGACAACACGAGTTCACGAAAATTTTATTATATCTGTCAAAAAAAACAAAAACAAATCAAGGATCCCCCCATTCAGTCACTTTAAATGTATGTCAGCTCTCTCTTTAATGCTGCAGGGAACGATGGTTCAGGTCTCAGGCAAATTGGCCCAGGGAGCCTGGCAGGTTTAGCGTGCAGTATTTGGGGCTCCGCCCCTGTAGCCACCGCCGGCTGTCCACAACATGTGGTGCTAGGTTTTGACAGCTGCTGTCAGAGCCTAAGAGAGCTGCCTTTGAACTTGACGGCTCAGAGAAACGGGACCTGCAAGGGCCCTGGAGCCTCCAGTGGTCACACTTGTCAACAATTTCTGGAATAATACTCAAGGCTAATGTGATGCATTCAGTAATATATAAAAGTTTGGACTACCTTGGTCAAAATCCACATTTTTACTAATTTTCTAAGTGAAGATAATTTTACACTTGCTCTACATGTATCATGATTTCTGTTAATCTTAATACACAATTGCAATATTTTTTTAAACTCAAAAATGTTGTAAAATGATATGAAAAAGTGGCATAACTTTTATACAAGACATACGTTATGCTTTAAAATTGTTAACATATTTCTTCCTTAAAAATCAATAATACCTGTATTTTTACTATTTGCACCCAAACTTTTGCATGTGGCTGTTTACATAATATATAACTATGACTTTTCTACATTGATGGAAATTGGCATGAATTACTGCTCAGTGTGGTTTTATTTTGTGATTGTAAAGAAATATACTAGAATATTAGTGAAAGATTATTTTAATAAACCACAACATCAGGAACAGTGTATAGTCAAAACAGCAGCACAGAGTGTTACAAAATTTGGATAATGACAAAACAAGAAGACGTGAAGGAGTTCAATTAGTGCAAAGATACACATATAAGACAAAAACAGCTTTAATGAGCCATGGATATGGCTGTGATTTCACTAGAGAAGATACATAAATATGCTATTAAATTATTTGTCATTTACATTTTGGTATTTTATTCATAATAGATTTGGTCTCAAGATAAGAGTTGGAGCTGGATCATATCTAAACAACTAGCGTGCATCAAGATAAACTTATATACCTTTTACAAGCTGCAATGAAAGAGGAAACACACAAATATAAGAGGAAATGTTTACATTTTGCGGCATACAGAACAAAGCATGTAAATGATTAAAGGAAAATATCTAAAAATGTATATGCATTTTCTTTTTCCACATTATTTTCGTGATTCTATTAAAAATCTCTTGCAATTTTAAACCATACATTATAGGATTAATTAGGGGAGGAAACTCTCAACTGACACTATCACAGAAATAATGTGAGGCATGTTTCCTTCAAATCTGGTGTTAACAACTTCAAAACATACAGTAACAGAAAAACTGATGAAAATGAAAATGTGTGGGAAGCAGGTCTGCAGAGCTTTTCTTCTGAAATCTTTTGAATTCTTTAAACAGATTTCAAGTATTCTAACATATGAGTAGATTATGAAGATTGGTGGAAAAACAAGAAGACATAACTGTGAATAATTCATATGGATTATTTGGTTTATGTCTCCACAACTTAAATTAACAACTGAATAATAATTACAGTATATTCTGTTTAATTTAAATTTACACAGCTGAAGGCGAGTTGTTAGTATCATCCCTACAGTAATTTCAAAGGAAGGCACAAACCAAGAGAAAAATAAGAGCTTTTTCACAGTGGACATTTTTATAAGAGCTGCATATTGTAATCGTTTACATATGGACACATATCTGTCAAAGGCCATAGCTGATAACAGTGTGAACTCTGATGCTCCATATTTGTAAATAATAAAAGCCTGAAACATGCAGCCTGAGTGAGAAGTAACTTGTGTTTCAGACACTAAATCACTCGGGAGATTAGGATAAAGTGCCGACGTTCCAAAGAGAGCTTTACAAAGTAAAGCAGCAATGTAAATGTACATCGGCTCATGGAGACATTTGTTTGTGTAAATGATAGAAATAACAACAGTATTAAAGCAAATAATCAATAGATAAGCTGCGAGAGTAATTACAAAGTAAAAAAAAATATCTGTACTTATGCAGTTCCACATATCCCTCCAAAAATAAATGTTACATTAATTGAATATTCCATTAGTTCCATGAAGCAGCCCATCAATACCCAACAACATTAGAGTTCTATTTCAGATGTAGTGCTGGTCACGGTAACTGTCCTATTCAAGCTTTAATTAAGTAGAAGTCATAAGTGAAGATGGTGAATGAACAGTGGTCCTTTGTGTATTTATACATTTCAAATAGTTACATCCAAGTGTTCACTCACTGATTGGCAGGTCTTAGTCCATCCCTCTTTTGTTTCAATGGCATTGGTTAAACAAACAATGCATATGCCCTACAATTTTCCTGTGAATTAAGTAAAGAAAATAAAGATATAATTTCCCAGTGATCTATATTCTGTAACTACTGTAATTAGATAAAAAGATATTGCTGTTTCAGTCTTTGAAATAGACAGGCTTCTGAGATCTTTTGAGGTGCTGGTTTCACATTATGGGATACCCAAACATTCTTTGTTCTTTTATTTTAGACTTAGATCTGCATTGAAAACACACAATGTTAAATGGGGCTCAGACTTGAGCGACCATCAAATAATTAGTTGGATCACAGAGGCTCCCAAAAGAATAGTATTTTTTATTTATGCCAAGTTTATGTCACATGTATCTGTAAATGTCTCTGGACAAACAGAGTGGGATAGAGTTATGCAACAGAGAGGAAGGCAGATAAACTGGGAAACGGCTTGGGCTAATGTTTTTAGGGCATCACATAACCCCATCATCAATTCATTGATTTGAAAATAAGCCACAGGGCTTATGTGACACCCAGGGTAAGACATTTGGTGGGTTTAAGCCCTCATCCCTTTTGTAATTTCTGTCCACATGCGACTCTGAGGACTTTTATGCATATTATGTGGGACGGCCCAAAGGTTTATGCTTTTTGGGAGGAGGTTGTTGATTCAGTCTCTTCTCTGATCAAGACATGCTTACCTATGGTCCCTGAACTTCATTTACTAAATGATAACACCAAGTTCCCCATTACGAAAAGTTCCCGGAAGATATGGCTGGCTGGCTCGTAATTGTCCAGCATTGGCTACCCCCCCATAACTTGTCTATACGTCTTTGGCTCCATACCTTACTGGATATTCTATATCTGGAACTGTCATCTGCAAGAATTGGCAATGCTGGCCCTGGAACTCTTAATACATGGATTCATGGAATTTCTAAAGTCAGGACCCTTGTGCTTGCTTAGCTATATGCTGTCTTTAAGTTGTGAATGATGTAATTCTCCTGTGTCCTATGTTGTAGCTATGTTTTGTTTGTGTGGTTTGTTTTTTTTTCTTCTTTTTCCCACCCCCCACCTCTTGTAAGTCCCATGTGTGTGGGGGTCAGGGCTGGAATCAGGGTGTTGTTCTTTAAATAGAAAATAATAAAAAATTAATCACAAGCTAAAATAGACAGGCTGAGTAAGAAGTAACTGACAGAAAATCACTCGGGATATTAGGATAAAGTGCCGACGTTCCAAAGAGAGCATTGCAAAGTAAAGCAGCAATGAATATGTACATCGGCTCATGGAGACATTTGTTTTTCTAAATGACAAAAATAGCAACAGCATTAAAGCAAACAATCAATATATAGATTGTGAGTTATAATAAAATAAATGTATCTGTATTTATGCAGTTCCACATGTGCCTCCAAAAATAAGAATCTAATATTAGTTGATTTTTTTCCATTAGTTCCCATAAAGTAAACTATAAATGTCCCATAATACTAAAGTGATCCTTTTGATTTGTGTATTTCTGCATTTTCAAATAGTTACATCCAAGTATTCACTCACTGATTGGCAGATATTAATCAATCTGTCATGCATTCACCAGCATCACGAAACGCTATGGACTTCATTTCCCAAAACCCTCAGGAAGATCACGTAACTCAACAACTTCCTTCTGACTCGGAAACCTTAAGGAACTCCATTACCCACAATACCGTAGGGAATCACATGACTCCGGACGACTATCATGCTCCTATCAGTGCTCGCGCTCCCCAGAGTACTAACTGTTTACACCTG